CAGTCTTCCTGACCCTGCAATGAGGAAAGGCGACGGCTGGATGATGGTACAGTGAGCACCTCAGGGCTTCTTACACTTGAGCCCAAAGCCTGCAGCTGGTGACTGAGAAACTGACCCCAGGGTGTCTGCAGTGACTTTCGTGGCTACCACCTCTCTTCGCAAACCAGCCTATGAAAACCTCCTGTTCCTCAGAGAGGTGCACACTGGGAGAACCAAGGCGCCGCTGTGGGGAACTCAAACCACAGATTGTCCGTCCCTCCTTCAGCCCCATTTTTCTCAACTGGGGAATCCACGGGAGAGTCTAGCTTTGTGCTTCACGTGTTCCTGACAGCTGAGTAGAGCTTGAACCATATCCTGTATGCACAGGGAATTTCCCTGCATGAATTTCCCATCAGTCACATAACCAGATACGGACAGGAACAGAAAGAACTGTGGAAGTTGTTGAGTTCAGCCGCCTTGTCTCACTTTACTCATGGGAAAGCCAGAAAGGTGAAGGGACTTGGCCAAGGTCATATATCTCACTAGAGACAGGAATCGACCTTAAGTCTTCTGAAGCCAGTACCAGTGCTTTGCCATCTCCAATGTCCTTTTATGACAAAATCAGCCCTTCTCCATTTTATGCTTCTGGTCCAGATGTTGCCCACATTCACATTCAACACAAGGTACTTTGTGAATTTCCAGTTCTTCTATCAGAGAGGGTTTCATCTAGGTCTCTGTTTCTGTCTGTTCCCACTTCCTGGGGCTCTTGGTGCTAAACTGTCCCTGTGGCAGCAGAAAGGTGTACAGAAGAACGTTAACCCAGAAGCGCTGCGGCTGGTGATCCCTAGAACGCCTGCCTGCCTATGAGGCTGGCCCTGGCTGGCACGTGGAACCTGGGTTTGGGGAGAGCTCCCAGAGTGCTTTTTATTGTTAGCATACGTGATGTGGTTTGTGCTGAACACCTGCTTTTCTTTGGGGATCTGGAAAGTTGGCATGGAGTGAACAGAGTGCCAGTGTGACCAGAAATAAAACCACGCACGTGGAGCTGCGAGTGAGTCTCACTGGCACTCAACATTCGTGGTGGCATCCACTCTCCCAGGTGCAGGGATTGAGTGGATGCATTGGCCCTGCTGGGAAAGGACTCTTGACAGCATGGTACCCCACGCAGTTCACCCATGTGCCGTTTTTCCCGTTGCTAGTTTCAGACTCTCTTGATGTAATGTAGTGTGTTTACAACTCTAACTACTGCCTGTGTCCTCGAGCTCTCTTGGCAAATCATCACACTAGGAGCAGCTTGGGGGTGCCTAGCTAAGGAGCAGAGGGAGTTTCAGTCAAGGATACAGTCCTGCAGTCTTCTATCACATGAGGAAAGGGTGATGGGGGCTTATGGATAGGGAGACATTGGGATCCTGCTCACCCAAGTTCAGTCCTGACTGTACCATGTATCATGTGTCTGGGGCCAGCTGCTTTCCTTCTCCAAGCCTCGGGATCCCTAGCAAGGGAGAAGAAGCAGTGCTCAGTGTGGTTCTCTGGGGACTCCAGAGCCGCCAGCTCTGTGGGTATACATACCCCACATGGGCTGCACATGCACCCTCAGTGTTTTCAGTGTTGTGCTGCACGCCTGTGCACAGAGCCTCCTGGCACGGAGTTGGCCCACAGTCAATATTAGTCGAGTTTATGCTCCGAGAGTGGGTAAATGCCACCCGGCATCACTCTAGGAAGCACACAGTCCAAGAGGGATGGGAGTTGTTGTAGAGGGAGATGGGTAAATTCCATCTGCAAGCTTACGCCCGTGGCTGGTTGCAACGGGAGAGGGCATCTCACTGAACTCTGTGAGCATTTCCCCTTCACCCTGACCTCAGCTGGCAGTCCTGGCTCAGAGTTAAGCGTACCCCTCAGTTCTGTAGGACACCAAGGCTTGTCTGATTGCCTTGGGTTGTTTCAAGATCCAGCTGCAATGTTGCTGTACATGTAGACCCTGTTACTGGGTGCTTGATCTAATTAGCAAGCCACTTTTGGAACAGCTAAGTGGGACATGCTCTTTATAACCCAGTGACTCATTTCCCATATGCTCTGCCCCCCCCCCCCGCACGCACTCCCTGAACAAAAGAGAAAGGAGTTAAACAGCTGTGTGTAAATTTGTTTGCTCCAGTGGTGGGCAACGATTTTCCTTCTCTCCTTGAGGGTCTCTGTAGCTTGCTTTGCTTGTTAATGTTTCCTTTACAGGATAAATAATGTCACAGCAGACCAGCAAAACGCTGGCCAGCCATGCAAAGGTAGGATTTATGACCTCTCCCACAGTCTGGGGATGCTATTCCTTCTGAATTGTGTGGTGTGTGTGTGTGTGTGTGTGTGTGTGTTCATGGATGTGCATGTGGAAGCCCAGAGTCAACATTGGATGCCTTCTTTAGTTGCTCACCACCTTATTTATGTAACATGTGTATGTGTTGGGGGGATGGTAGGTGCGTGGAGTGCAGGTGCTCACCAAAGCCAGAAGAGGGTATTGAGCTCGAGTTATAAGCAGTTGTGGACTATTCAACATGGATGCTGGGGACCAAACTTGAGTCCTCAGCAAGAGCATTAAGTGCTTCCAGCCACTGAGCACACCCCCATCCCCCACCCCCCCACCCCCGCTCCATATCTCCACTTTATTTTTTAAGTCAGAGTCCTATTTGAACTTGGAGCTCATTGATTCAGAGAGTCAGTAAGCCCCGGGGAGCTCATATCCCTGCCTCCCGGGTGCTGGGATCACAGACATGGGCTTCCACACCTGCTTTTCACATGGATGCTGAGGATCTGAACTCAGGTCCTCGGGCTTGTGCAGCGAATACTCTCCCCACTGAGCCGTCTCCCCAGCCCCTCCTGGATTTTTAAACATTGCTTAGAACTGCTCGGTGAGCCGGAGGCAGCGAGACCAACAGGTCACAGCCAGGGAGTTCTTAGACCCTGCCTTTCACCCAGTGACTTCCCCAGAACACCTCCCTTGCATGTGTAAATATGTAGGTGCCCCCACAGTCACGTGGATTTGGGAGACATTATCCCACACTTAGATATCATAACAGAGCTGCAGAGATGGCCTACTAAAAACAAACTTGTGTTTTCTGAATAGAATTGAACCAAAGAATCATTTTCCCCATTTCCCTGTGGCCGTGGCCCTCCTGTGCTGAGCCATGCCACAGGCTGAGCTAGGTAACCTGAGAATCTGTTCCTGGTCACCATCCGGTCCCTCTTGGTTAATTTGCTCATAGCTATGTCAGAGCAACATTGATCACCAGGTGACCCCCCAAGCTGCCCGCTGGCTTCCTATGACAAGCCCTGCTTCCAGGCACATCCCTATCTTCAGGCTCAGCCCATCAGCTTCTTTCTCTCTCTTCCTTTTCTCTTTGCTATAATAAAATACCCGAGGCTGGGTACTTTATAAAGCAAGTGGTTTGTTTAGCGCACAGCTTTGTTTTGAACTCTGCTGGGAAAGGGTGAGCCTTTGATTTGACCCCAGCCCCCCGGGCCCCGAGCTTCTGCCTGCTTTATTTGCCGTCATTTGGTTTCTCATTGATCGGGAATTAATCGGTGGCTGACAGGCTCCGCAGAGTGGATTGCTGCTGTCTAGGAAATGTGCTGATTTAGAGAGAATTTCAGATGTTGTTAACAACCCAGAGAGCATACTGTCAAGTGTCTTCTTTCCTCGCCTCATTCTTGGCACCCCAAGCCTGTGATTCAGCCACTCCACCGTGTCCTTCGAGTGGCATTCATTACTTATTCGGGGGCCTTTGAAGCTCTGTCCTAAAATGTCACCAAAAATTCTAAATTACTTGATTCTCTTCCTCTTTTGTTTAAAGAATTGTCGCTAAAGACTTTATTTTGAGACAGTCTGCCTCAGCAGTGATTATTTTGACTTATGCCTATACTTGGGACTTCCGTAATTGCTGTCTGTTTTCTCTCCGGTCCGGCTCCAGCATCAGAAAAGGTCAAACTTACACCCCTCCTAGCTGTGTGACCTTGGATGAATTGCTTCATGTTTCTGAGCCTCAGTTTCTTCCTCTACAAAAGTACCCATTAATACCTTTCTCTCAGGTGGATAATAAGAATTATGAGATAATTAAAACTCAGTCCTTAGCACAGCTCCTGAGCACAGATTCCTGTCACCTCAGGAGATGGCAGGGAACTCTCGTTCCCTGGGTGCCTGGCACACAGAACTGGTGAGTCCACTCTGGGTCCTCAAGAGTCCTGGCCTGCTTTTCTCCTGACTTCAGATGCTGGCCTGCCCTAGTCACCAGGGCAGCATCAACAGAGCCCAAAGAGCTTTGAGCCGCGCACGCCCAGATGAGTCATCTTCAGCCTTTCCATTCCCTTAGCAGTTCTCTGGACTGTGTACTACAGTACCAATGTCAGGGCCGTTCCCCTCCTGGTCTAAAATGGGTCTTTGTGAGCCTGAAGTGCAGCCAGGGCCCTAAATACTTTGCTTCAGTGGAGAACTAAGGGATGGAGGCAGCGAAAGGGGGGGCAATGCAGTGGTTGAGGCGTCAAGGTCGAATGGAAGCAGTTAACTGTCCCTACGGGTGACCGCATCCCCGCATTAACAGCAGTTTGTGTAGACAGTGCCGCACACTCTCAAAGCCGTGTTCGTTCATGTGGCCAGCTCTGCTCAGCAAGACCCTGTGTTGGGCCAGGTGTCATGGCAGAATGTTCACCAAGATTCACTTGTTACAATGGCCCTGGGCTTAAAGAAATTGGGTCTCAGCAGGCACCATCTCCTTCGGAAGACCCAGAAGACCCACCTCTTCCTCTTCCAGTGTCCAGTGTTTTGTTTGCTCACATAGGCTCTCCTGAGGTTGCAAGTGGAAAAGACTAGGAAAACCAGCCCCAGCCCACTCCCTGATGCCACACCATTTGGAAATGATTGCTCCCTGTCACAACTGGAGGAAAATGACAGAGAGGAAGGTCAATAGTCACCATCTTCAGGACCATAAAGTTTCAGAGATTTCTAGGATTTGATGTGTAACGTTTTCAGAATGCAACATAAATCATGTTTTCCCCCTTTATTGTCATCTTCTAAAAAACAAAAGCATGTCATCGCCTCTGAAGCCACTGAGGAGAATGTGTGTCAGTCACAGCCTCCTTGGAGTCAGCTGAACCAATACAAATGTTTTCTTCCCCAGGAAGACACGCAGGTTCGGGTGATTATGATGTTGTTAGCACAGATCTCCTCCAGGATGCAGAGTCAGGGCGCAGAGTCAGGTGGGGGAGGGTGGGAAAGAGAGCTGAGAATGGAAGCAGCAATTTTAGGCAATTTGAAAATTCTATTAAGGGCAATCTGTTGGTCTCCTGCAGAATGACAGGACCCCTTTCAAAAGGTTCCTGGTAACCTGCAAGGGGCTGATGGAGTCTGGAAGCTTTCTGCCCTACACCCCCAAAGTCATCACATAGGACCCCGGCCTCCACTCTGCTCGCCCTCCATGCCTTTAAATAGAAACATTAATAACACTTTACTGTTTAGGGCTTTGTGTATTACAAAGCTGGGGGGAAAGCCAGACTCTGTGGGCTGTAGGACAAACGATAAGGAGAAGTAAGAAAGTGGGGATCGATGGGACTGAGGAGTCCCCCACACTGCTGCCTGTGAGCAGTTTGTTTCGCTCCTGTTGACTTTTTAATGTTTCTTTTTATTTAGTCATTGGCTTTTAAAGACTTGGATGAGCCATGGGCTCTTGGCCAGGAGAGCAGAAGACAGTGGTTGAGGCCAGGGAGCTCTTTCTCAGCTTACTACTGAGGAGGGCCAGGGCTAGGAAGAGAGCCACACACTGCTGGAGTCTTCTGACCCTTTCATGTCCAGCACTGTGAGCCTAACAGTTCTAAAGGTGGGATCCCGGGAACCATGGTAAAGACTGTATACCCTGTGGGCAGGAAAGTCTCCATGTCCTCACTCTTGACCCAGGTGATGTCTGGTGGGTGCAGAGGCACCCTCCACTCTGGGAGCTGTCGAGCTGTCTAAGTGATGGGGAATCTCAGTTTCTTCCGGCTGTGTGCTCCAGGTGCTGAAGTGGAAGGTCCTGCAGTGTGGGTCAGGGAGGAAGGAGGGCGGGGCAGGGGGGCAGGAGAAGGTCTTCTCTCATTCAGAAGCTCTCAAGCCATTTGACCCCTAGCCCACAAGGACTGCTTTCAAGATCACCACCAATTAGGCTGAGTCTTCTTCACCTATGCCAATTGAAAATATGCAACAAACAAATAAACAAACAAACAAACAGCAACCCTCGCAAAAAGAAACTGCATTCTACTGAACATGCTTGGACATGTTTTTCTCCTTGTAATTTGATAAACAGCACAGTTCAACTTCAGAGCACCGCACTAGGTGTTATAGGTAATCCCAAGATGATCTAGGAGTGTGCACAGGAGGAAATGCACTGCTTGTATACCCTTCCTGTAGTCTCCCTGAGATCTTGGTGTCAACCTTGTGTCCTGCATCTAATCCCCAAAGAGGAGGGATAACTGGAGAGAAGAATGTGTTCTACATACAGTGCACTGATGTCTTTAAATTA